TACATATATGGCTTTGCATTTGTGGGTCTTATTATATTTCTATTGAACAGTACTTGTCTCGACCAACACTTTTCTATCACAGATAAAGAAATGGAGGCAGAGAAGCATAATAAGTTCAAGGCAGCACTTGGGGGGTTCCCTTTTCCAGTCTTAGGCTTTTCCTGGTACAGTAAAACACCTTGTTGCAGAGGCAATGATACCATCAATCTGGCCCCAAACATTCTTTCTCTCTTTTGTCTGGCTAATTAATTCTTCTAAGATTTGCTGTTAAAATCTATTTCCTTTATTTAAAAAAAAAAAAAAAAATGCTTCCTCTACATTGTGCACACACTTGTGAATTGCTGTTATAGGATTACTCAGGAAAGCAGAGTAGCTGGAATGGATGCTAAAAAAAAAAAAACCTAGGGAAACATTAGCATAATGAAAATGCAAAGAATGGATGAAGAGCTTTTAAGATGTAGATGGTCAAGTGCTGGCCCATGAACATTTTACCAAGCTGTAGTTTAATAAATGACCCTGGAGGCCCTCAGCATTCTGAGAGCCACCTTCAGCACACCATCAGTAACTGCTCAGAATTTAGAAGTGTGAGCCTGTAATATCGTCTTTCCTCCCAAGGGTTGACTTTTTTCTGGACATTGTTGGTACTGCAGTGAGGCAAAACAGCCTGTTCACAATGTGCACAATGGCACACCTGGGTACCTTGGTGGAAATGGCCTTTATCCTCAATGCCTTCTATTCTCCGGTGCCAATAGGACAGAGTAGAACTGTCCCATAGGGTTTCCAAGGCTGTAAGCTTTATGGAAGCAGACTGTCACATCTTTCTCTCAAGGAGCCACTGGGTGGGTTCGAACCACTGACCTTTTGGTTGGCAGCCAAGCGTTTAACCACTGTGCCATCAGGGCTCCTTGGTGCCTAGGTTACCCAAAAAAACCTACTACCACTGAGTTGATTCCAACTCATAGCGACCCTATAGAACAGGGTAGAACTACCCCAAAGGGTTTCCAAGGAGCAGCCGGTGGATTTGAACTGTCGACCTTTTGGTTAGCAGCTATAGCTCGTAACCACTGCGCCACCAGGACTCCAGTGACCCTACTAGTACAGAAGCTAAACAGCATCATCAATTACTTACAGAAGCTAAACAGCATCATCAATTACTTGAAGGAGAAAATCTTATTTTGATAAAGTGAAATGGTCCCATCAGATCTGGCAAAGTGGAGATGAAATTTATTTATTTTAGTAATCAGCTAATTCAAATAAAAACAAAGATATTTTTTGTTGCACATGTTTCCTCACCCTTAAGGATCCAGAAGAGAGAGAATTGTGTAAAACTGGCTGAAGCATGTTATATTTGAAAAATCAAGCCTGCAACACACGGGTTCCTCAGTGTAATGAAAGAATAAAAGAAACCTAAATTCTGATATAAAACTTTCACGCAAAGAGCTGGAAAGGAAATCTATGGGTCAGGCCAAAAAACACATACAGTAGATGCATTCAAGATTTCTATTTAGATATTCTTGTTTGCCATCTTAAATACAGCATTGCCTAAACATCACCTTAAATCAAATGTTTGGAGCTCTGGAGCCCCCTATGTTACACATATGATTTCTAATAATTATGATCAGTTGAACCAACTCACTTCTCAGTAATATTCACCTCTAAACACTTTCATATACACCGACCTGTAAAGATAATATATTATGGACGAGTCCCAGGCCAAAGTATATCTGCCAGAGTAAAAATAGCACTTGTTGCTCTATTTGACAAAAGGAAAGATTATGTATTTTAACTTTAAACAATTTTTCAGATCCCTTCCTCAATGATAAAGAAAAGAGAGGATACATAAAGAAACTTGCTCTTCCCTTAAGATAATCTTTTAGACAAGTTTTAGCTCTGTCTGGTTTTTTGTCTCAACTGAAAGCTGAACAGAGTATGTCTAACGATAACAGTGAAGAGAAAGAAGTTAAAATCAAATTAGGAGGCCAATATTAGAAAAATTAACATTATAAGAATAAATTACAATAGAAACCACAGTTTCTATCGACAGGGCGTTCTTTCCAAAGAGCTGATAAGAAAATCTGTCTTTGCAAAGATTGGACTGGACTGTGGGACATAAAATAATACTTGTGAAGAGTGTTCTTCTTAGCTCATGTAGATACATGAGACTCAAAGGGCAGCTCCTGTCCGGAGGCGAGATGAGAAGGCAGAGAGGGTCAGGAGCTGGTTGAACGGACCCGGGAAATCCAGGGTAGAAAGGAGGAGTGTGCTGTCACAGTATAGGGAGAGCAAGTTGGGTCACAAAACAATGTATGTATAAATTTTTATATGAGAGTCTGAAATAAGTTGTGAACTTTCACTTAAAGCACAACAATAAAAAAAAAAGAAAAAGAAAATCTGTCTTTGAAAGGGTAATGGTCAAAAGGCTTGAAAAGAGCAAAGCATCTGAAGTCATGGCTTAGGTTTCCTTCGTGACAAAGACATTTATGGTGGCCTGGTTCAAGGAACGAGAGAGAACTGAACCTGGAAGCTGCGCTTGGCTTCTAGGCCCAGCTTAACAGTTTCTTGCTCTGGGCCTTTGGGGAGCCAGAGGCCACCACCAGGCCTTAGGTTTTCTTCTGTAAAGTGAAGAGGTTGGTCTGTCACTGGGGAGATCTCCCCAGCTCCAGCGTCTGTCTGCATAATACTATGAGCCTTTCTATCTCACCATCAATGTCTCACCAAAAGGAACTCTTTCGCTCCCTCTAGGATTAGTTCAAGCCAAATGCCAACATGGTATTTTCAATCCTTGTTAATCTAAGAATAGAGATTAGAAATGTGAACCTTAAGGAAACATTAAAAAGCATCTAAAATATGCTTATTCAAAGTGTTAAATTGATTCCAATCTATTTCTCAGAAGAAAAAAAAAAGGTATGTGATGGCGTGAGCTGGGAGGAAAGAAATAACTGAAATGGAAATGTAACATCTTATAAATTCAGGAATTTGCCCTAAACTTCCTAAGTTTTACTTAGAAAATCTCAGAGTCTTCATGAGAGCTTCAAAAAATTTACTCGTTTCTGGAACAGTCTTATCATTACTTGGAGATTTCTAAAACTGTTCTCTTTTTTTCTTATGTTAAGTCCATGATTTGTGATTCCCAACAATGGAATACTAATGTATCCTCAAAAAACACTAATTATCTGGGTTTTTTTCCTAATTACAAAATGTAATAACTCTTTAGTGAAAACATTAGACATGATGTCATTTTTTAAAGTGCCACAGTTTCTATTTAAAGTAACGCCACGAAAGAGATAGCTTATTTCGTTTACAAATAGCAACACAAAAAGGTTCTGCCGAGTCTGTAAGTCTATTTAACATATCTGAAAGGGCTTCCTTCTCACATTTAAATATTGGAGGCCACTGCCCCAAAGTTTATTACCTTATCTCAGTTGCATAATTTCCTTAAATAGAATTCAGAGAAATAGTCCTAGATTCAAATTTTTAAGCACTAATTTATAAAAGCATTGGTTGAGTCCCGTAATATGGCTGGTAGTCAAACTGGACAAGATAATGAATTGACTGAGATCATTGTTCCATCTTCATCCAAGAAAGCTGCCTCTAAAAAAAGATCTTAAACTGCTGTAGAAATCCAATTTGTCAGAAGCAAAAGAAGCATATGGATGGGAAACACCAGCCGTGATCACATTAATTTTGTGACTAACTGCATTGCTTTGAAGTGAAGACAAAGAAAAAAGATGACAAAAATAATAAGTTTTCTCAAATCCTCAAGTTTAATCTAACAACACAAGAAGAAAACCAACTACAAATGCAAAGTCTGTATCTTGAGGATCCAGGGAACATCACACTCCCACCATATAATTTCCAGCTTAATAAGATGCAAACTCCAGTGCTGAGCACATACCACAGAATGGTGATGCACCATTGCTAAAAAGCAAATTATAGCAAGAAATGGGGAAACCAGGGGCTTCACATCAGTACAAATAGCCATAGGAAGCTCATGCTTGGCTGGTTTTGAATCTGCAGGTGTGGGAAACTTGCAAATAGTTGCAATGAAAATCTTCGACTTACTGTAACTGAAACACTGTACAGGAAAAGTCTGCCTGACAAACCACCATTCATTTAATCACCTACTCAAATAAAAGTTGCAACATCACAGAGGGAAATAAATAAAGGTACGGTTTCCACTTTCTTGAGGAAATGCTTTAATAAACTCTCTGCTCAGGCATAAACTAGATAAAGTCACAACTGACTTACAAGTGACAGGCCACTCGTGGATATTGTCTTTTTTTCATTCACAAACAGTTGGTGGGGAGATATTATCAATTGAGAAGACATGTTTGGTCTGAGCAAAGTTGAAAAATGAAAATCAACACGAATCAGTAAGGATTTAAAAATCACAGATCTATATAAAATGCAACAAGCGCAGGGAAATGAGAACAGTTTATGGGGAGGCACAAGTAAGTGCTCTTATTATTTTCTTTTTAAGTTTCAAACTAGAGTAATAGCTGATATTCAGTCAATATCCCCTTCTGCAGAGGAATACACATCTAGGTTTGGATTTAGATAATGGATTTTTGTTTTGTTTTTAACTTTTCGGTTTCTTTTTAAAGAACTCCTTCCTTATTACAATTGAAGTACTTAACTGAAGTGATTCACGAAAGCCAGCGGGATTCTTACCTGGCACATTATTTAACATGCTTCTTAGATTCCCCACTGCAGTTCACATGCTTGTGAACATATTTTAGTCAGGAAAGAATGGTTTTATTCACATACACTCAAGCACGCTTGCACACAGTCTCACACACACACACACGCACACACACACACTCACACAGCCTTCCACACTAAATGCTACCAAGTCCCGGGAAACTGACAAAAGCAACATTAAAATTCAGAGCAAATTAAGAATGCCATTTCTGAATTCTATCTATGAAATACAAGATTGATCCCATTTAACCAAGTGCAAAGTTCTTTCTGCTGAATAGGCATAATAAATATCATCTTACCATTAACTGTAGAATAAAATCAGCAATGTGTTGCTTCCTGCAGTCACCAAATCAAGTTTATTTTTCTTCCTTTCTTTCTAGTAGCTTCTTTTTTCACCAGCAAAGATTAGGAAGAAAATAAATCTCTGAGAATCTGCCTCCGTATTTCAGACCACAAGATTGCCGAACTAACTCTTAGACGTCAAAAGAACAGGTCTGCTATTTTACAATCACTCCTGCAACCCCGAGGTACCTCCTGGATTCTCATACCTCCTTTCCTCCCTCGTTCTCTAAGTTTCTTGTAGGAATGAGACTAATTTTTCCAGTAGCCTTTAACCTCCCTAGATTTAACTGACATGGAAAATGTGACTAAAAACTTGTAGAACTATCTAGCCTCCAACCCCACACAGAATCGACTTTGTTCTAAGTGTTGAAGAACACCTCACAAGCAGCTGCTTGCTCAGTTTATACTCCTGAACTACACAGCACAGAACACTAAATAACAGTGCGCCACCTAGTTAGCAAGCTGCACGCTCCGTCCTAGAAGGGGGGACACCTTCAGACCCCGGGAGTTAAGGACTTGTCAGGGTTCAGCTGCTTTAAAGATCCAATTGTTTACTTAAATAAAAAAAAATATATCGCTACTGAGATAATCCACATCTAGTGGATATGGGAAAATTTAGGTTATAATGGCGCTACAAACTTTTACATCTAACTTTGATTTACAAGATAAAAGCAAGTTTTAAATTAAAGGGGCTTTCCGTTAATAGAGCTTATTATTCTGAAGACGGGAATGATTTTCTTCGAAAGTTGTCCCTGGGTGCATGCCTATTATCTTTGCTTTTCCCCTTCCACTAATGAGCATTTATCTAAAGAGCCTGTTAATCCTCTGATGTGTGCTTCTGGTCAGAGGTAACAGTTTGAATAAAACCACTAATCACTGATCACTAAATCACTGATCATTAATCACACTCTCCATTGCCGGTGACCTGGGCCATTTTCCCTTTAGGTCTATGCATCACAAACAAGTTTAACATTTTCGATGCACATGTATTGTGTGTGGCTTGAACTATTTCATCCCTAGATGTGAATAAATAATAAATACTGCCACAAACTTGGAGAAGGATGTCAATTAGACCCCAAACGTGAGTTTCACGAATGCCTGCTCGACAGCATGACTTTCACATTGAAGAAAGTAGATCTGATTATAACAAAACATGTGTTCTTCAGGAGGTTCCCACATATGTGGAATATAGATTTTCCTTTATTTAGCTTTCACCGACTCCAAACCAGACAGCACCCAAATCTCTTACCCTCTCTCCATCCAAAACCCTGTTAGTAAAATTTTTTATTTCACTTCTCCTGCACACATCCGCCAAAAAAAAGTTCTTGTGCTTCTATCCCTTGAGTCTGCCACATATAGTGTTTTTATTTCAACTGCCAGATACAGAGATTCTAACCCAATTCTATGGCTTAGGTATTTAACTTCCTCTTTAAATATACAAACTTAATGTTAAGAGCAAGAAAGTAACATACACACACACACACACACATACACGAATTTATTGTATGAGACTTTGGGTTCAACTATTCACACTCCCTCACTTTGGAAACATTTAATCTTGAGCCTTTCAGCTCAATTTGATTTAGTCAGCATCCTCACTTGAGTCCTCCCTCTTCTGCAAACTGGTTCTAGGAAGGCGCTGTGTAAAATTTAATACTTTGTTTGCGGTGAGTGTGTTGTTGTCCTAAGTCACCACAGGGACACAGTATTATCACAGCGCTTCTAAACATTTCCTGAGATGCTTTTTCTAGCAGGGCTGAGCATTTTCGCCCTGGATAAGGGAGCTTGCTGGTGCCTTTCTTAAATAATAGAAAAGGGCAGATTGTGCGCTGATCAGGTACTGCGTTCCCCTCAGACACCAGAAGCTCTCACCCACACTCCAGGGACAGTGTTCGCCCCAGGGAAAGCAGTAAAAGGCAAAGGCGGAGCAAGAGTGATAACAGTGTGGTCGGGGGAGGGGTGGACAAGGAGGGCTCGGAGGAGAGAGAGCAGTAAAGATGCCCCGGGGAACCCGCGATTGCGCGTATAAATTGGGGGCTGGGGATGGAAAGCATAGTTGCTTTGTCAGCATTTCTAAGCCCCTGAACCCTTGAGTATCTGAAGCTGTTAATCAAACACTTACTGGCCTGCAGAATGACGTAATGGACCTGTATCCAGCCTTTATTCCTTGACACATGTCAGAGAGGGAGGGAAAAACAAAAACAATCAAACCCTCTCTGCAGACTCTGACAACGTAATCTACAAGCAGCCCACTCCAGTTCCTGGCCTTGAACAGCATCAAGTGGGGGTGGCATCAGTTCAGGGAAAGTGGGGGTGGGCCAAGGTCTGGGGTTTTATCTACCAGACACCCCCGGAAATACATCTATGGCAAAGAGGCAGGATGCAGCAGTAGGGAGAAAACATCTTGGTTTCTATGTCTTTTCACCTCTAAGAAACTTCGTGGAAAGTTTAAGTAGTTGCGTCGGGAATCCGCCAGAGAGGAGGGCTCCGCCGCGGCGTCCTGGCAACAGCCTCCGCGCCGCCGCAGCCCGAGCGGGAGCTGTCATTTGGGGCAGCAGCGGGGAAGAGGTAACGATGCCAGCGGAGGCAGGAGGGGGCGGGAGGAGTGAGCGCGAGCAGCGCCTCGCCACTCTCAAGCCTTCCGCTCCTGGAGCTGAGCCGCGGCCAAGTGCCCTGCAAGGGCGACCTCGTTCCCCACGCGCGCTTACCCACCAGCTGCGGCGGGCGGCCCCTCTCGGCGCCCGGGAGAGAACGAGCCCCCTGCGCGCCCGACCGCCCCCTAGGTGACCCGGCGTCCTCGCCGCGCCTTCTGGAAGTTTGCAAACTTTCTTCGGGGGTTCCGCCGCATCACTGGGAAGTTGGGAACGCGAGGGGAGTTTTCTGGCTCGCCGTCTCCGCCGCCGCCGCCGCCACCGCCGCTTGACTGCACTTCTGGAGGGTTCCGCACCTTGCCAGGTCTCTGGAGGCAAACACACACCCCCGATTCATAACTGTTCCCCGTGTCAGGGAAACACACGCGCGCTCCCACACAGGCACGCACGCCGGGACGGACACGGCGCTCGCTCCACGTTAGCATCCCTCCAGTCGCACGGCGCAGCGGCCACCGGGACGCGCTCCGGGGCGGACACGGCATGGGGGATCTGGAGTGGCCTCAGGGCACAGAACAATTCCACAGTCCACCAGCAATGGGGGCCGGACGTCCTTCTGGTCCGCAGAGTGTTTACAAACACAGATCACCCTCCAAAAAAAGGCATCGCATCTTCCCTACTCCGTGCCCTGTGACCTGCCCACTGGACCAAGTAACCTCGCGGCTGCTGCCGAGCACCAACCCTTGCAAACAAGTACGCTCCCGAGATGGCTCCTGCGGCAAGTGCAACAAAAGTGGCTAAATGCAAAAGCCCCAGAAGTGGCCGAGCCGTATTTTTAGGAACTTACCAAACAAGTGTGGAGAAGGCAAGAGCGGAGCCCGGGTGAAGGGACCACGTTGGACTGAGCGAAGATTACAATACATTCTATTTAGAGTGCATTACATCACCCCCCCGGTGACGTCACGTGGGATTCCTGAACTTCTAAATCATTGCGGTCCGCGGGGCCGGCGCGCCGAGGGGGCGTGGACCGCCTCGGCCCCGCCCCGGCCCTCGCGGGGAGGCTGCGGGGCTGCTGGGCCGACCCTTGATGCACCCGCCCGGGAGCCTCGGCCATGACCGCGCAAGCAACAGCTTGCAGAGCCCAGCGCCGTGTGACACGGCTCCCTGACATTAGTGGTATGAGTCAGCTTGGAAACAATCTTCATGGTTTCAGACAGGACCACGGAGGAGGCACGGGCACGGGCTCTTCCGTGGGGAGGGCCTGGTACGGTTTGAAAGGTGTGGGGATGGAGGGGCAGGCGAGAGGGGGAGAAGGGGTGATGGTTGTGCGGAAGGACTTTCTGCAAACCGAAATGCAGGACGTCCTCCCTCCGCCACCAGCAGATGTCCAGCTCCTTTTTGCCTGCGACAGTCGTGACCTCATTACAGTGTACCGAGTCCTTGCTTCGCAGAGCACTCGACACCCCTTCCTCACCGCTCCCCCCAGCCCCCACCTCACATCCAGGGGAATAACTTCTTCATTGTGCACATGCACATTGATACACAGCCCCCGGCCTTTCCAAGACCCCTGCTTCGTCAGTCTGAGAAGCTGTAGGGAGAGTTGCTCCTGGAGGCGAAAGGTGAATCACAGCTAGAGCCCAAACGATGAACCTGATTTAGACTCCGCGTCAGAGCTGGAAGGGCCCTTGGCGATGCGATCACTTCCAGACCTCCTCGGTAACTTGCCCAAGCTCACTGTCTGGGAAGGGGCCGAACCAGAGCCAGAAGGCAGGAACTGGGCGCCTGATCTGCAGTATCTGCCTGACAGCTCAATGAGAGAAGGAGCCTGGCGTTTTCAGCATCCGCCAGTCACCATCATCGCCATCCCTGGCTTAATTTCTTTTCAGAAGTTCTCACTCTGAGTGGGACTCAAAGGCAAAGCAAAAGAGTGAATCCGCAAGCCCGATGCCAGCCGACCACCGTCATCCTCGCAGCCGCTCACACTTTGCAAAACACTGGCACCCACGTGCACCCCATTGGTCCCCTCAACAACCGGGTACAATGAGGAGACAGAGGGCAAGTGTTTAGGACTGCTAACCGAAAGGTCGGCGCTTGGAAACCACCAGCGGCTCGGCAGGAGAAAGATGTGGCAGTCCGCTTCCGTAGAATTTACAGCCTTGGAAACCCTATGGGGTCGCTGTGAGTCAGAATCGACTGGATGGCAGTGAGTTTAGAACAAGTATTATAATTATCCCCACTTTACAGGTGAGCTAAGGCAAAAGCCAGGAGGTTAAGGGGTTGGCCTGGGGTCACTTGATGAGCAACTGGGGCGCTGGCACCACCCAACCCCTGTTTTCAAACCCCAAGTCCCGACAGGACTCCTTTCTTTATAGAACCAGGGAGAAGCATTCCCTTCTCATTGGCTATTGGTGGCTAGCACCGCCGCTAAGGGCAAGTTGGCTGAAAGTCGGATCTTTGCTTAGGAACGGTTTAGACCCCATTAACAAACAATAATCATTCCTGACATTTATGTAACATCTGACATTTATATAGCACCTCTCATCCCAACACGTCACAACCGTGACTGTGCAGTCTGCCAGAGAATCATGACTGGACTGGCTAGAAACTGTAATGCTTGGCCCTGGTGATCACACACTCCTGAGCCGGTTTTGACATACCAAACGGAAGAGCTTTGTATTTCCTTTCTGTTTTTAAGGGTTTAAATGGCCCCCTCGCCTTAGTGTTACTTGAAACCACAAGGCTGACTACTGTTCATTTCTCATGAGTCCTCATTCAGGACTTTATCATAGAGTTTTCTATTTGTTCTTTTCCACATGTAGCTCTGAAGGAACTGCAAAAGAAGGGCTCCCGTCCCTACTTGAATCTTAACCAATAAAGCTTTCAGTGTGACAGCTCAATTACTTGGGTTTAGAGAGAGGGAAGCAATAGTCTACTGAGGAGCAGCCTCCCTGCCCACATTCCAACTCCATTACCAGGACAACTTTTTTCAGCTGAAGTAGTAGGTTTCTACCTCCTTCTCCCTCAAAGAGAGGGTGCAAGCCAAAGACAAGGAGCAAACTTTAGGCAGAAAGGGGATAGCATTCAACATCTCAGAGCTCAGTCTGAAAATTTGTCTTTTTCTCCTAAGATGTGGACCTAAGGAATAGAATTTTTAAAAAAATTTTTTAAATCTGATATCCAGTATTTTCTAAATAAAAGCAAAAATATATACATATACACTTACTAAGTGAAATGAGTTTAAATTCAAGTAGTTCATCAATTTCTAATAGTATCCAAATCATTTGTGGATTTTTAAAAATTATTGATCATTTGTTTGATGCGCTGTAGCTAAGCAATGCCC